TCTATCTATCTATCTATCTATCTATCTATCTATCTATCTATCTATCTATCTATCTATCTATCTATCTATCTAAAGATGATTAGGAGATTGGAGGCTAAAACATATGAAGAACAATTACAGGAACTGGGCCTGGCTAGTCTAGGGAAGAGAAGGACCAGGGGAGACAGGATAGCAGTCTTCCAACATTTGAGTGGTTGCCAGAGAGGAGGGGCTCAAGCTATTTTCCAAAGCACCTGAAGGCCAGACAAGGAATAATGGATTAAAACTGACCAAGGAGAGGTTCAACCTAGAAATAAGGAGGAACTTTCTGACCATGAGAACAATCCACCCATGGAACAGAAATTGCCTTTGAAAGTTGTGGGAGCTTCATCCCTGGAAGCTTTTAAGAAGAGACTGGACTGCCATTTGTCAGAAATAATGTTGGGACTTGGACTTAGAAGATCTACAAGGTCCTTTCCAACCCTGTTCATCTGTTTAATTTGTTTAATCCCCCCAGAGAATTCCCTGACCATTTGTTTTGCAAGCGAAGCTTTGAAAATCTTTCTGCGCAACAGTTGGAGGGAGTGGATGAAGATGACCTCAATAGTTCAAGTTACAGCATGAAGTTCTTGCAACCTTCATTCCAGACTGACAGGTTAGTTGGCAAAAGATACTTTTATAGTAACAAGAAAAGTTGCTTCATTGAAAAGTCTAATTCTTACATCTTCATTGTATGCATCATTGAAAATATTAAGGTTTCCCCCCTTTTTTTTCCAGATCCTGGAAGACACACGTACTATCTCTGGATGATACACGCGCAGACAATTATTTTCCACATTTGTGTTCAGATGTTGAGTTGCCTTGGTATCAGCATCTTCTGCACTTAGAGCCAATGAAGTCTAAGGCTTTGGACACTTCTGCAGCGTCCCTCTTTCAAGAGGTTGCATTTGTTCTTTCAAGCTCCAGAGGGAAAGATAATAAAAGCACTGAAGAGAGGCGATGGAAGAATGTACATTTGGGTGACCTAGAAAAACGTGGGAGTCTTGATTGTAAACACGTGACTGGTTTTCACGTGCTCTTCACTGCCTCAAGTGAAAGTGAAGGACTGACTCTGGTCCTGTGGGATTTGGTGACACAGGGCATCACGCAGTCTTGTGTGGGGAAAAACTCCTTTTTCGTGGAATATACCAGGGAGGAACCGCTATGGCTCGTCCTTTCAGGTGAGCATCTTTGATTTTAGTTGCAGATAAATATTTTCCCTCTAGAAAATTTCAGAGTTGAAGTTGTTTTCTCCTCTTGACATTAGGAGGGAGCTGTGTTCAAGTCACTAGAACATCTTTTCTGTAGACAGTGAGCAATATGGAGATAACCTCCCTCCTTTGTGATCCTCCTTAGAGACTGGCCTCTTTTTGTTCCTGTTTGGCTTTACCCAAGAGGAATTCTTGACCAGGCTGATCATCTACGGAAGCGCCAGCACTGTAGACTCCCTTTGCTGCCTCAATAGGTGGGGGAGGTGTTCGATTCCTGTACATGCCTTAGAGGTAAGGAAAGAAGCCTGGTTGGGGGTAGCAGCGTCTTTCTATCGCTGAGGTTTTTCTAAATGACTCCAACTCTTTCCCTGGGGCCTCTGAAGCCGTTGAGGCCCTGGCCATCCATTCTAGAGCAGAAAGATTGATTCCCCACACTTTTTGTTGTAATTAGTTCTGGTGCTCAGCCCGTGGAGACACAAGATCTCCTCCTGACAAGACAAGAAACTTATTTGGCTAATTCCAGCACAATTCTTCATATTGTGAAGATTGTTGTGTGTTTTTTTAAGTATTACCATTTGCATGTTTCATCTATCATTTCTTATCTTTAAAGAATCCTGAATCTTACATAACTACTGGTCCTTTGCTCTATATTACAAAGAAATATTGACTGTTCCTTGGTTACAGTCAATGTTAATTACAAATCTGTATAAAAGTAAGCTGTAATTAACATATCAACCAGCATTTATTTTGGTGTATTCAAATATATACAGAACAAATATGTTACTTAGAATAGATCATATCCATGTTAAGGAGTTTCTAAGCGGAGAAAGAATGCTAGAGCTCAGCTTCTCAAGAACAAATTCCTGTGAGATTGGACAAAGGTTCGTCTCGGTGTTGTTACAGCCAGACCTCTGAGAAGAGAGCTCAGGAAGTGAGAAGCACAAGCCATGGGTTGGTGCTCCCTTGGACACCCAGGCTAGGAGCTAATTAAGAGGGAGGTCAAAGTTAATGGTGGATCTTTGTATAAATATAATATAAAAATTATATTTTTAATGTTTAGGCTGGCTTAGAGAACCGACAGTTGGACACTGTGGATTTTTTCCTAAAGAATAAAGAGAACCTTTTCAGTCTGTCTACAGCAAGCTCTCTACAGGATGAACCTGCAAATATTATGTCAGACTTTTACTTGAAGAGTAAGTAAACTATGAATATTCACACTGATATTTTATAAATTGCAGTATAAATCCAAAAGAAGCGTCACTTGACTGAATGCAAAGTAAGCTGCATGGAAGGCAGGGAGAGTGGGTCAGGGCACATCCCTGCCAATCAGAGATCCCTGGGTCTTCAGAACGCTTAATGGAATGAATTGCATATGTCACCCTGGCATCCCTTTGAAAGCAAATGCAAACTTGTGCATTTCTTAATGTGATCTTCCCTTTTGTATTGGTTTTACCCTTTTCTCCTGCAGGTGTTGAAGAACTGAGGCCAGCATTGGATTTACTGTGTAAGGCAATTCAAGAAAATGATGTGGAAACCCAGAGCAAGCATTTCTCTGAGCAGCTGTTGAACCTCACCTTATCTTTTCTTAACAAACATCTCCGTGAGATTTTTACCCACAGAGAAGGTAGAGTCAGTATTTTGTATCTATTTTACTTGAATTGGTATTCTCTGGGCCATCATGTAACAACAAAATTTCTATTTCAGGAATGGGTTTATTTACAAATTTTGTGCTCCTAAAATCATGAAGGGAAGAAAGCCAGAAACAGGGCAGCATGCAGGTTCAGCCTTAATACCCACTTACTCAGTGGGTATTAAGCGTCTATGTCAGAGTTTTGGCAGTGTGACTATTATTATGAGATAACCCCAGGAGCAAAATACAGCACACAGAGCCTTTAGACAATTAATAGTGGTTTATACATACATCTATACAGACATATACATGGTAGATAAATCCCTTACCACTCAGCTACGGACACAAGGAGAGAAATGAGATACACAATGAGAGAGAGAGAGAGAGACGGCCTCTAATGGTCACCTATATGTAACACTAAACAACTTGTGTGGCCCCCACCAGAGTTGTAAACCGGCGATACCTGTATTGCTGAGTCATCCTCATTGCATCAGTTTACAGCTTACATCCTTACATCAGCTGGCAGCTATTAAATCCTCATTACCTGACAGTCTATAAAGCATCTAAAGATATATTACGGACTGTGCAATACAGGTAGTCCTTGACTTACAATCATTCATACAATAATACAAGTTACAATAGTATTTAAAAAGGTAACATCAGTTTCCACACTTGTGACCCTTGCGGCATCCCCCTGGTCACCTGATAAAGATTCAGGCACTTGGCAACTGGCATGTCCTTGTGGCAGTTTCGGTGTCTGGGGGTCTCCATTGGTAACCTTCCCAGGCAGCTTCCCACAAGCAAAGTCAATGGGAGGAGCCATTTGCGCAGTTAAGAATTGTCTGATGACCACATGGTTCAACTGCATGATTTCCCCAGATTTCAGCCATGGGTAATTTATTAAAAGGTCTTCTATTTCAATTGTTTAAAACGGATGGATGGATTCCTGTGACATAGAAATCAGTTGAAAGGCCCCTTCCTGTTTTATTTGGAAATACGCTTTTTCTAAGAGTTATTACTACTATCGTCCATTTTCTTTGAATACCAAAGAAAATCCAGAGCAGTACAGAAAAACAGTGTTGCAAACCTGCAATTACTCTGATCAGGTCTATACAAAATGCTTCTTTAAAAGTCTGTTTTAAAAAAAGTGACTGCATCTGGCAACTTGTCTGGCTGGGTTGGAGATTATTTCCTGCAGAATATTCATGTTGATACTGAAGAACAGGGAAAATTGAGCTCTGGGAGAGACTGTAGCCCGAACCTCAAAGGCAAACCAAAATTTCTCCTCCAAAAGTTTTGAGCTGTGATCCTGAAGATAGGAATGATCTACCTAGCACAGGCATGGATAACCTTTTTCTAAAGGTGTGCCACAACTGTGTGTTTGCCCACCCGCTGCGCATGCACGAGCGACCCCCCCCAGTGCATGCACGAGCCACCCCCCCTTCATGTGTGCAAGTGACCCCCGCACATGGGGAGGGGGGAATGTTTGCCCTCCCCAGGCTCCAGAGACTTTCCTGAAGCCTGGGGAGGGCGAAAATGGCCTCACCCAGCCCTCCAGAAAGCTGAAAATGGATGGCCTGCATGCGCATGCTGGACCTGAGGGCTGCCGTGCTGGCAAATATGACTCTGCGTGCCAACTGTGGCGTGCCATAGGTTCGTCATCATGGACCTAGCATAATGTAAGAGTTCCACAAGTCTCTCATGGCCGTTGGGGTGGAGGTGGTTGAAAAATTCAGTAGAATCAGTCCTGCAGGCTTCCCTCTTTCCTCAGCCAGCACTAATAAGGCTGCCTCAGTGTTAGCAGTAGGCCTGAAGCCAGACTGACAAGAATTCAGGTTTGTTTCTGTAGTGATGGGTGTGTAGCTAGGTATCGCACCTCCTGTATCCCCTTTGCCCCAAATGGGAAGCTGCTGCAGGACAGAGGTTATTTGAGAAGGAGAGCCTGCTGCCCTCAGCCCTTTCCATGGAGCTGACTCCTCCTCTGCTGGCCATTGGCAGCCAACAAGCAGGAGAAGAACCCAGGGAACAGCATCCCGTCCCTTCTGACTAACGGCTGCCAGCAGCCCAGATCCTCTCAAAGTGGGGGTGTGGGGTGTGTGTGCAGTGGTTTTGTGGTGGTTGTGATGGATAATTCTGCAACCTCTATATTTGCCTTTCTCCGCAAGCAGCCTTTTCAGTAGCTTTACATGATTGCCTTCCTGATGCTCTTCACAGAATTGGATGAAAATATGCTGCAGTGTGTTGACATTTTCACCAGCTACATCATTAAACTCAGGACATTTATGATCAGGTTTCCTCATAAGCCATCCGGTGCCATGAGCCAGCCCTGGGATTCTGAAGACAACCTACCCCAAATGGAGCAGAGCCACTGGGAAAAATTTGATTCAGAGGTAAGCGGAATATATGGTAGCTTAAATATCAGAATATATTTCACCCGTGATCTCAGTTTATTAAACCATTTCCTTATTACACATATACACAGCAAATTGGAGCAATGTATGGAGCCTTTTCTAAGTTCAGCGCTTGAAAATAATTGATTTCAGTGTGAAAGAGCAAAGTGGGGTTATAATTATTTTAGCAAGAGAGCATTTTGGGTGTGGATGAGAGAGAGAGATGATATAGCTATGAAAATATCCTGGTTTGGGCTAAAGGCATTTGGAGAGGTAAATCTGCCGGGCATTGTCTCATAAGGGGATTATAAATGAGCTGGAAAAGAATACAGGAGGCTTCTGGCTTCATAGGCTGGGTAGTCTTCCTCCTTCAACAGAACTAAACTTGGAGACCTTGCCTGAAACGGAGGGGTCAGGGGCAAAGGGAAGAGCTTTCCGCACCAACCTGAATCACTTCATGGAATTTACGGTCATCAGTTTAAGTATTTTAAAATGGCGGCAGCAGCTTTATAGAGGAGAAGCTGGTTAATGGCTTCTCTTTCATCTGACTGGTGCAGTAGCTTCTGTGAAGTAGCTGGCTGCTGAATACAGATTTTTTGGAAGACTTTTAGATCTGTTAGCCTCTGTGCTGTTGGCTTAGTTTGACTATCAAAACAGCTAGTAACTCCCCGTGTGCCACTCAGCAGAACTGCTGCTCATCTCCAGCCTAATGGAACATTGTCCTGATCGGCTCTTTTCAAGTTGTAAGGATGCCTTTCAGAGCAGAATGCAACACTCGGGGGGGGGGGGGGCTCTTCAAATGGCTCATCGTTTTATTTCTCAGCAAGCTGTTACTGAAGCCCTTCTAAGCAACAGAGTGCCAGAGGCACAAATCTTTTTCCGTCTGACTCACAACCCTGCCCAGGATCTTGGGCAGCTAACCTGGATAGGTCTGGAGATGGCCTACAAAAGCCTCCTGAAGGATGACATAAATGAAGCTTCCAGACTTTTAAGGAACATGGTGAGTAATATCACAACCCCACTGAGCTCCATTTAAATCTTTCCTGTAGAGTATTTTCACCTACACAGATTTTGTACCTTGGCACCCTGAGGATAATTATTTGTTCCTCTGGGCTAGGATTTAAATGGGAAAGGGGATCCATAATCCCCAGGGGCGTTTCTGCCTTCTTCAGCCGCTGAGAACAAAAGGCTGCATCCAGGCCTCGGGTCCTTTCACACCAGTGCAGAGAACTAGGGCAAGACTTTTCCTTATGCATGTTTTTTGCAAACACTCCTGCAGGAGAATTTCTTTTTCCTTTCGGTAGGGCCTCAGTGTGAAGCAGCAACTGCACAAAATATGTTTCTACACAACTGATTACCATGTCCGGGACTTTCTAGTAAGTTTAAGCAAGAATCTTTGCCCACAAAATGACTTCAATTAATTGTATTTTTCCCCATGTATTCTGCTAACCACCTCAGATTGATAATTTGTACTCAAATCTCAGAAATGGTCAGAATGTAAATGGGTTCCAGTGCAGAAATTCAGCTGCACTGACATCATTTTCTGATCTTACGTAAGCGACTGGCAGCATTCCCATATAATGTTGTCCTTCACCTTGTTCAAAATTTAATTGAAAGGAAACTTGAAAAGGTGTATGTCTGTTGGATGGAAAAGAGACAAACTAAAATTTTGTTTTGACTCTGTAGGTGAGCGTGCTACAAGATGAAGATGTTCTTCCTGAAACAGAGAAGGAAATGGTAGACTTTGTGCATGAGGTAGAAAATATTTATTCAGGCACCTTCCAAACACAGGAAAAGAATGCAGCCTGTTGCAGGTAATGCATCTTCAGTTCAGTCACAGGTGGGGAACAAGCCTGGGATGAACTGAACTCCCAGCATGTAAGCCAAACAAAAATGAGCTCCTGTTTTTCTCTTTGTCCACCTTTCTGTGATGTGGGGGAAAGTGAGATTGGTGAGCTATTGCGGGATCCAATCTGGGTTGGTTACTGGGACCAGAGGTTAGCCTTCCGATCTTTTGGACTCATGCTAGAGCCCATCCTCAGGGAACTTCTCTGACCAAAATGTGTGCGTTGAGCTGTTCTTTGTGTAGTACTTATGTGGTGCCTGGTTGTGTGGCTTTGCAGCTGTTGATTGGGGTGTTGATGGCCAATTATTAAGTTGTTGGCTGTTGTTTCCTACTCCTAAGTACCTGATAAAGTGCTGGTAAATCAACCCATTTCCCAGGCTTCAATCGTTTCTCTGGCTATTTTTGTACCTACTGGCCAACAATCTTAACAGATGCGAAATTGAGCATATGTTCTTGTTTGTTGCAATGTGAGGCTACTAATGAGTTTAGGTCTCATCTGACAGCTCACTTGTGTTCTTACAATCTGGTGGTTAGCTTTCTCCCCATCTGTCAGGTGGGCAATCCATGCAGGGGATCCGGTAGATTATATTAGAAGTTTCTTCCACCTCCAAGCGATCTTAGCAATGCACTTCCAGGTGATCATTTGTTTGAGAGATACTCCCACACACAATCAGGTACCACATAAATACTACATGTAGAAAAGCCCAAAGCACACCACCTGATGAGAGAGAAGTTCCCTCGGGATGAGCTCCGCCACGAATCCAAAAGCTCAGAAGACTAACCCTCCGGTCCCAGTGACCGACCCAGATTGGATCCTGCAATGTTATCCTGGGACACGTAAATTTGCCTTCATTTGTTGGTGAGCTATTGGCCAGGACAAACCTGATGGGGATTTGCTATTGAATAGGGCTCATTTTGTTGTTTGGGTTTGAAGGATTGTGCTTTGGTGAGAAATTTCAAGGAAATGCTTAATTATTATTTCCAGATCTTGGAGAAAAGAAGCAGACTGTATCGATGTTACTTCTTTGGATTCCTTTCTGAATTGCACTCAAGACAGAATTCATAACCGGGAACACAGGATGATGCTAAACTGGGCTCAGGGGTGGAATCCATCCACACGGGAAAGGATCCTTCTCCCCGCGAGAGCTCAGGAAGGGGGTAAGTATCTGTTGCCATGGGAGCATGGATTTGCAGCTTTTTTCCTTTTGGTTTGTCCTGGTTTTATGCCGCCTTTATTATTGATATAAATACCTCAAGGCGATGAATGTATCCAACACACCTTCCTCCTCCTATTTTCCCCACAGAAACAACCCTGTGAAGGGATTTGGACTTTCATGCTTGAACTGAACAGCCTCCGCTTTCTAGCCCAGAGCCTTAATCACTAAACCAAACTGACAGTTTTGTTTTTGGAAACAGTCGCTTCCTTGGGGGAGGGGGGGGAAGGGAACGACTCATGACTTGCAGGGAAGCCTCAGCCCCCGACCCTTCTTCAAGAGGAGAGGGCAACTCCCTTTGTGGCATTTTTATGGGGTTACAAGCAAAATTAAGACACTGCAGCCCACCCAGAAATCAACCTGAATTTTCCGATTTGGACTGGATTTAAGTGGGGAGTCAAAGCAGCCTTCAGGTTGCCCCCTGAATAGGGAGCAGGAGGAAGACCTTCATTATTGTGGATGGAAGAATGATGAAAAATGTTTAATAAGAGAAATAACGTCCAAATTGTTTCAGATCAACACAAGGATAAACATGCATGCACGCACACAAACACGATTTAGCTTCTGGAAGTTTGTTTTAGGGATACAACTGGCCTCTCAGTGCATTTATTTCACTTAGTGGGTCTAGCAACAGTTAGAGGATGATAGCCATGTTAAAAGCGTCATGAAGAAGGGAATAAAAACCGGCCCCTTTTCTAGAAATCATAGACATAAATCTGTTGGAGGAGCAATGCAGCAGGAGCAAAGGGGGCGGCAGGGGTGGGGGTTCTGGCCAGAAAGAGGCAGGGTGTGTGTGTCTCCAACTGCTTTGGCTCAGCTGCAGCTGGGATGTGGGAGGATGGAGTTGGGCAGAGCCCTCCAGCTAGTTCCTTTGCCACTAATGGCAGCAGCTACACATGTGGGCATCAGCTGGAGAGTGGTTGGCCAGGGGATTCTGGGATTCTGGAAAAGGACCCGGCCTGAGGAAGACCAGCCTCCATGTAGGCAGAGTTCCTAATGTCCACCCAATGTCTGTACTTAACTCATGTATTCATTTCTTTAAAAATTAGAATTTCAGTTCTGTAATCCTGAGGCTCTCTGGATGTATTTGTCGTCTTGGCACGATTGGGAGAATATCAGATGGTGGATTTCTGATTCTCAACTCGAAGGCAGCCCTGCAAAATGGCCCCCCCTCCCTTTAGAAGCCATCGGTCAAAGTGCCTTATGCAGCCCCTACTTGCGCAATGAAGTCTTGGACACCCTAGCTAGGTAGGCGCCTTGTCTGTATAATCCTCTCCGTTTCCATCCAGTTCCCCACCTGCTCTTTGAACAGAGAGGCTGCCTAGTGGATCCCTGCTCTTTCTGCTCTGCTTTTTCCTTGACAGAAACGGGACTTTTGTGCCCGCAGAACTGGAAGACTTTGAAGGCCTCCTGCAGAGGACGGCTTGTGCCGGAGGGGTGATGCAGGAGCCCCATCCTCTCCCGGACTACGTCTCTGCAGGCGGCTTAGATTTCCACACCTGCTTTGTCCTCTACTGCTTAGAACGGGGGTTGGACCATCTCCTCTACTCCTACTTGGATTACTATCGGTAGGTGGCCGTAAATGATTCCAGCAGAGGCGTTTGGAGGACGGGGAAGCAGTGACAGGAGCAGCAGATTCTGTGAAGGGGGGGGGGGGAGAAAGCTTCAGAGGCTGCTCAGACATTGGTATTGCTTATGAACTAGACCAAGCCCATCCTTTCTTGGCGTGTGTCTTTCCTGCCTCCGGTCTCCATGATGCCTTGTGGGAGAAACAGGTTTTTCCTTGTGCTGGACAGCTGTGAACGAGGGGAAAAGGGGAGTCGTGCTGGTGGGATGGTGGGAACTGGCTATTGCCCTCCCCAAGGAGGCCCTTCTTCCCCTCCAGCCCTTGGAGGTAGGGCAGTTTTCTCACAAGGCAGCTGATTGTTAAGCCACGTTCACTGGATTGGCTCACATCTGGTTAGGAGAGACGAGGCTTTGCTTTGTCTTTGTAATTCTATGAAATGTCTTTCTTGGTTTTCAGTTTATTTTCATCAGACTGTCTCATTTTGAACGATACAGACCTGCGTGAAGCACACCCTTGGTTTGAATTTTTAGTGCAATGTTGGGACATTGCCAACCATCCTGGAGGTAGGTTGTGTCTTTGTATCTCATTTGGACAAATGTTTCTCAAAAAGCCTTCCCGCCTAAGTGGTCCCTATTTATCTACTTGCAGGGAAATCAGGGCTGCCTCAATGGCCTTGAAATAAAGATGAGCACCGCCTGATAGTTGGCAACGATTAGCCGAGAGAAATTCTGAAGGACTCCTCTCCCTTTACTTGGCCAGGAAGGAGGGCAGGTGCTCCAGGGCAGTTGCAGTCCCTGGCCTGCCCATGTCACGCTTTTCGCTCCTTATGGGGCAAAATGACCTCAATGGCATGACCTGGCAGGCCTTCCATTTCGGGGGGAAAGAGTCCTGTCCACTCTCCCACAGTCACTGGTGACCCCTTGCACTGAAGTTTACCTTCTTGACCACCTTTGAAATGGGCTTGAAGCTGCAACAGCCTGGAATGGAGCAATCTCGGGGTTCACGGAATCAAATCTACTTTGGGATCTAGTGGGTTTTCAGCTCTTCTTGGTTTCTGGATCAAACTGATTTGGATGTATAAAGCTAAACATAAGCCCTGTGTGTGCTCATCCTTCAGACTAAGGGCTGTTTGCACTCTTGACTTGCTAGCTAGTGGGCTGCCCTTCAGGAAAGTAGGCAGCCTCAGGACAAAATGTCCTAACTTACATCCTTCGACCTTAGAGATCCAAGAGATCACCAGATCCTGTGAATGAGTGGATTGACGTCTCTTTTTCCAAAATGAAAATCTTAAGTGGAAACAAAAGGGGGGGGGGTTGTGTGTTTAATAATTTCCCTCTTCTATCAGATTTAAAATCATTGGAGTGGGGGGAGAGAACTTTCAGAGCAGCCCTGGAAACGCAGAGGGGTGGGCTGCTTGTGGTCCTCTCCCGCCCTGGGTGACCCTCAAAGGCCAGCAGGATCAGCGTGCCCTCTAGTTCCTTGCCAAGTGAGGGTAATTGGGGTTGGCAGACCTTCATTTGCCCACCAATCTTTTTGGTAGATTTTTGAGAGGGAGGAAAATTACTTTTTACTGGGGTTGTGAATGGGACCTTTGGAAATACCTACCAGAGTTGTGTATCTGTGTACTTAAAGGATGTTTAGCTTTGGTTAATCTGATTATGCTAAATCTATTTTGAATTTTCTTTTGGATAATGTTCCCTCTGTTTCCCTTTTTCTCCCCTTGCCATCCTGCCCCAGATACAGACAGGATTTTCCAGGCTAGCCTAGCCAATGCCCAGATCTCCATTCCCAGCAACCAGGCCAGTGTGAGCACCATGCTGCTGGAGGGACGCACTCTCCTTGCCCTGGCTACCACCATGTTCGCCGGGGGAGGGATTGACCAGGTATGCCAAGTGCAGGAGGCTGGCAACTGCCCAGCTCCCTCTACAAAGGGCTAAAGGCCTGAAGGAGGCTCACTGCAGCCAGCATCCCCTCTCCCAACCACAAGCCGGCTGCCTTGGCCTGGGCCCTGGCTGGAGAAGCAGAGGTCAGCCCTTAGGCTGCCTCAAAGGCGTGGAATGGGGAGTGCCAGAAAACCACCTGTGGAAGCAAACCTCAGTGCTTCTTCTGTTGCAGATGGTCCAGAAGGGAGATGGAAGAGAGAAGGTGGATGCGCAGCTCTTCAGGATGGCACTTGCTCCTTACCCCAAGCTCAGAGCTGCCCTCTTCCCTCAGACCACTCCTCAAGGAATCTCCCCTTCCGACCTTTCTCTCTATCACCTTCTTCAGGTAGGACTCAATGCCACCCGGAAAATGTGGGCACGGTAGTGGACGGGAGCTAATTTGGGCAGGCTCAGGACTTGACCTGGTCAGCAGAGTCTCTGAAGCAGTGTCCACCTTGGATGGTCCTTCCTCAACCCTGCAGCTCTGTCGCCAGGCAGTCCCAGGCGAACACCAGGCAGGCCATTCCTTAGATGGGGCCATCTTCCGATCCTACTCTGTCACCTGATGGACGCATGGCTCTTCTGAACAGCTTCCCTTTGAGGCCCTCCACTCCATGTGGAGCAGACCCCATTTATCATAGCAAAGTGGAGGCAAGCCTGAAAACTGCTCTGGGTCCTTCCAGACCCTGGTTTCCCCGCCCCCTCGCTTTAGTACCTAATTGCTTGACTTCCCACAAAGACCCCTAAAATACAGCAGTCAACTTGATTAGGTTGCATCTACGATAATCTTGTTGAGTTTATTGTAAAACGTTTTTCTCCAGGGCGTCAAATGTATTTTCTATAGATTGTACTACCTGTGCAAAGTTTTTAGCAAATTTTTCTAGAAATGCTATAATGTCAGTATTTCCAGATCTTCCCCTTTGAGCCTTCCTTGCAGCCAATACTTCAATGTCTGGTATCCCATAATAACACCAATAGCACCCTCTAGTGGCCAGGCTAAATCCTGAAACTATTAGCCCCTAAGTAAACCTCAAAGCCATCTGATGTGTTTCGGGTTACAATTACACACATTTAGAAGTCCAGTCTGATCCAGTTAGATTAAAAAAGGATTAAGCCCAGCATGGCTGATCCTGTAATTCCTTCGTCAAACTTCTGATGGACAAAGTTGTCTGCTAGGTTTGTCTGGAATTTGTTTGATATATATATTTATAAATAAATATAAATAAAAAATTAAATGTAGATTTACCAAAACAAAAAGAGAGAGAGAGAGAGAAAACTTAAAATTTTGATATAATGTAACAGTTTAGTCCCAAAGAAAGGAATCTGAAGTCCCTACTTTTGACCTCTTGTTTATAAGTGAACTCTACCAACACATTTTCCCCAAAAACAAAAAGTTTCAAAAATACTGATAAGTTGTTTGGCTGGTAGTCACCAAGAGGAGAATCACTGTAGCAGAAGAAAGCCTCCCATAAATAACAGGAAAAAACCATTAAAAAGTTACTACAAATGAGGAGGTCAGTTCTAGTGTCCATTTAAATTTGGGGTGCTTTGTAGCGGTAAATTGTTGGCCATCCTGCCTCTCAGCCAGCCCATCCCACAATCCTTCATTTCATGGTCACTCTCCAGGGCAGGAGGGTTGCTGTTTTTTTTCCTGAACCCAAAATCTGTCAACAGAGACCCTTTTGCTCACAAGTGCCCTGCCATGGAAAACACCCTTTCCACATGCTCCTTCCTTGATGTGGGGATGCGGACAAATTAGGCTGGCTCTCCAAATTTGATGTGCGGACAGCTCAGTCACAAACTGAACAAAAGTGACAGGACTCCCTGAGCTCTGGACTTTGCCTGTTGTACTGTTCCAGGGGTGTCAAACTCAACTTCATTGAGGGCCACGCCATGGTTGTGTTTTATCTGAGGTGGGCGGGGTGGGCGTGGCCAGCTTAACGTCATTCGTGTCGGCGCCTGTGGTGGCCCAAATGCTTTGCCAGCAAAAACGGAGCTCAGGAGTCCGTTTTCACGGGCAGAGGCCCCAGGGGCTGCTCCTTCACTGTTCCCAGGGCAGCCCCACAGGCCAGATCTAAGCACCTCACGGGCCAGATCCAACCCCCGGCCTTGAGGTTGACACCCCTGTGCTATATGGTCTGAAATGAATGTTTTCCCTTTTTAGTGCTTAGCTCCATTTGATTCCACCAAGTTGTTTGGCTGGCAGTCGGCAAATACCCTGGCCATTCCTGGTAAGCAAAGGTCCACCTGCAGCTGGAGTCTAATCTAAGCCCTGTTGTGGGGTGAAGAGGAAGCAGGCAAAGCCAGGGGCTGCTTTGTTTTGTTCCGGTTGCTTGCAGTTCTGCTCTTTTTCTGTCCTCTTCAGATATTTGCAGTGACCTGCCTCACTTCTCATGCTCGGCTCTAGTAAGCAAGCATGCCATCATCGAGCATCTTGACTTCTCCTACTACTTGTATCACGAGCGCCCTTCGTTTGCCTTCGGAGCGTTTTTAGCTCAGCAGCTGTCAAAGAGCAACCGCCCAAAGGAGCTGTAAGTAGTGAAAAGAAGCCCGTGGGACTCTCTTACAGTCATCAGGATTAAAAGTATTTCATTACAAGGGTTCATCTGTTTGATTTCTGTCCTGTGTTTCTTCCTGGAGACGAGGGCAGCGCATGCCTTCCTGCCTGCCTGCTCTTCTCCCCAGTAGTCCCTTGGTGGGTCAGTTGGGTTGGGAAGGAGAAAGAGAGAAGGCTGAGCCTGAGGGAAAACTTGAGCCTGCTCTGTCCTTCCTCCCACGGCTCTTGTCTTTATTCTGTTAGCCCGAAGCAGGAAATACTGATTTAAGCACTTGTGACCCTTGACAATAGAAGCAAAGGTAATAAGTGCTGTAGACCCAGATGGTGCCATGAATGCCCTCTGGGCAAGCACTGGTTCTCAGAGCGATACGGGTGGACGAGGCTGCTGTCTAATCAGCCCACAGTGACCTCCGCCCCCTCCCTCCAAAAGTCACAACCTTCGTGCAGGGGAAAGTGGTTTCTGTGCTGGGAGTCTTTTCATTGCCTGCCTCTCATCCCCATGAAATGTCTGGGACTGGTGCTGAGAGCGAAGTGGTCCCTTTTCTAGGGTTCAGCAGGTGGCTAAGGAAGCCTCCTCCGTGGCCCTCTCCCTGTTCTATGCCCCTTCTCTCGCTGCCACCTCCGTCTGCTTCTTGGAAATGCTGGGCCTGTCGAGTCTGGAACTCCGAGTGGACATTAAAGCCGCCAACGTGATTTTGCGCTTCATGTCCAGGAGGGAGGAGCCACAGCACCACTCCATCCGGCAGTCCTTGGGTAAGCTTTGCATGTGATTCTCCCTTGGGGTAGCTGGCTTAAGGTCTGATAGAACAGCTGTGCACGAGACGTCCATCTCCACGGGCTTCTCAAAAACATTCCAAGCAAAATCTGCTTTTATGTGCCTTTCCATTGGAAGCATTTGTGCTGATAAGGAGATGCCGAACTGACGGGGGGGGGGGGAAATCGGATGAAGGTATATTCTGTGGAGGGCAGGTGAGTGAGGGGCCCCTGGGGCTCAGGAAGAAGCAGTGAAAGCACCTCACTTGAGTGAAAGTCCCAGAGGAAGAGGAGGGGTGGGAGAGACTCTGGCTGTTCCCATAACCCTTATTTGAACTTATCCATGTGTCTTATTAGTGTTCTTTGCCAGTGATTGCATGACCTCCGTAGATGCCATACGCTAAACAGTCCTGGCCTGCAGTGCGGGGGCTTCTTGGGAAGATCTGCCATGTTGGGCTGAGGGCCTTAGCGGAATGCCTGGCCTCTTCTCTTTCCAGTTGAAAAGCTAGGAGAGCTGGCCGATGGAGAAAAAGCGGCAGCTGAAGATCTTCTGGTCTGCTTAGAGGAAGCCGTCTGGGATAAGGTTGACCATCAAGAGATTAAAAAGTGAGTTTGTGGTTCGAGATTGTGTGGCTTGAGAGCAAGAAAAACAATTGTCATGTTGCTGTTTCATATAAGACCATTCGGAAGTCATTACAAAATCTGAGATCTTGCATGACTTTTGTGAAGGTAGAGAATAGGAATAATTAACCTTAGGCAGGCTGGACTGGGCTTCCCTGGGATGGGGACAGAGTCGGTTGGGCGAGGGTCCATCAGAGCCAGAAGGAAGAGCTCATGTGCTGCACTGCAGGAGGAGCTCCTTCTAGGCCTGGGGCTCTTTGAAGGATTGGGAAATGCGTTCTCAATCCAGACGACGGAAACTGCCATCAATAAGCAGTGCAGCTGTGATATTTTGCTCAACAACTGCTTCACTTTAACGGTGGAAGTCCCAATTTGGGTCATTAAGTGAAGAATGTGTACCTCCTTTTCCTTCATTTACTGTTTTGTTAGTTGTTGCTATTCTGCCAGCTAACAGGTTGAGATGCTGTACTCAATCAATCAAAGAAGAAATCATGTTTGCCTTGAAAGTGCCACCTCCTTCCTCCTCCTTCATGGTCTAGGACAGTGTTGGCGAACCCTTTGGGCACCGAGAGCCCAAGCGGGGGGGTTCATGGGATGGGAACCGGAGGAGCAGCCATGTGCACACCGGAAACAGGAAGATCATCTTCCCAGCACACGCATGCACCCCAAGCGGCTGCTCTTCCGGTTTCCAGCACTCCCGCGTGTGTGAAGGCCAGCCGGCCAGTGCGTCAGAGCCCAGAAAAGCAACGGGTAACAGCTAGCATGCCCTAGAGAGATGGCTCTGCATGCCACTGTGGGTTCGCCCTCCCTGGTCTAGGAGAAGGAGTAACTCCAAAGATGAGCTGTGGGGTTTCCCCCTGTACCCTTGGGCTCCTTTATTGACTGGAGGGGGGGTGAGAGCAACATGGCTTGCTGCCGTGGCAGGGGAGGGCGAGGAGAGGAGGGGCACCTAAAGGCTCCTTCCTTTCAGGACCTCGAGCGAGGCGAGGAATCACTGGTCCTTGGTCATCCAGTTTTGCCAGCTGCACCATATCAAGCTGAGCACGTCATACCTGAGGGCCTGTGCGCGTTCGAAAGAATGGCTGCAATTTGTGACTGAAGCACAAATGTACAGCTACCAGCCGGCGGAGGTGAGGAGCTGCTGGATGCTGAGCTGAGCTCCAGGCTTGGGAGGTTTGGGTGGGAGATGGCCCCCCTAGGGAGAAAAGAGCCCTCTAAGGCCAGGGAATAGTAAAGTCACAAGGCTTTCCCAAGAGGAGAGGTGGGAAAGGAGCGGGGCAGAGGATTGTGGTGAGCGGAAACAGGCCCACTCCTTCCTGCCCATCCTTCCACTCTCCGGGGGCTCTCCTGACTCTGAATTCCCCACTCTGGAGCTTCAGTGTCCCAGGAAGTCCACACACCCTCCCCCCACCACCCCTCCTGGCCGCCTCTCCATCTCCTGGGAGGTCTTGCAGCTTCCCTCTTTGGCATGGTGGGTTCCTGGTCAAAGCTTTATGGAGCTGCTTGCTCTCCTTCCTTCCCTCTCCCAGGTGATCCCTCTCCTCCGGGACTTCCCCCTGCCCCTGCAGGACCACTTGGAATTGGCCCTGGGGCACTTGCAGCCTCCAAGGCAGGGGGGCTTGCAGGGGAAGGAGCAGAAGTCGCAGGGCCTGTTCCAGGTCCTGCTCCAGAGCCAGGAGCAGCCGTGCCCTTGGCGACACCTCTTGGCTGCCTCGGTGAAGCACCACTTGCCCGTCCTGAGCGTGCTGGCTGCTGGCTTCCAGGTACGAGTTCTCCAGGACAGGCATCCGGGCTCCTGTGGCGACGGAGAGGGGTGGAAGGTGATCTGGGACAATGGAGGCGTTGTGCATCGGGGCCAGCCTGGCTCTGATCGCTTGGGCTTTGGCGTGTGGGTTATTCAATCCGCTCTCTGCTTTTTTTTAAATACCGATTTTCCTTCCTTCTTCCCTTCACGTTCAACCATTGGGCAGGACGCCAGCCTCCTCCCCTGTCTCTGTGTTTGGATAATAACTTCCCTGGACAGTTCTGCCGCCAGTGAGGTGATCGGGCACATTGAAGGCAGGGCTGAAACCCACCAGTGGGGCCTCCCGGACTTGGCCCTCCTCTGGCAGTGGCTGCTGAAGAGGCAGAAGGCCAGGATCCTCCTTCACGGCTTCCAGCTCTTCCTGGAGGTGAGCTGGCCGGGGTTGCACTTGCGGCCCTCAGAGGCACCTGGCAGGTGCCACCGAAGCACATGTCTCGGGGGTGGGGTGGGGGCAGATTTCATGGAGGGGTGTGGAAAAGCCAGAATCCTGAGACTGGATTTGTGCTCTCTGCAAGAGTCTGGCAACAGCTTCCTTCCTACCAAACATCAGCTGGAAGACCTCCGGCAGACGAGACCTCGCCTCTCCCTCTGAAGGGATTCTGCCCCCTCCCTCCTTCCCTCCAGCTCATCTTTTTCCTTCCAAAGATGGGCAACCCACTGTGGGTAGAATTTGGGCACACACTTCTTCATCTCTCTGCTGATATTCAGGACTCCCCTCTGCTGATAATGCTGGAGGTGTATGAATTGTGCATGGACTACAAAAATTACACCCAAGCCAAGATCAAACTGCTCACGTTTCAAGACAACCTTTCAAAAGTAAGCGGAAATTTTATGTGGTCCGTGTGACTTTTTACAAACTGAACAGACGGATTTCCCCTTTTGTGTCCTGAATCCTGCCAGCCCTTGGAGGCCACCTGGCTCCCAGGGGATCAGAATTCCCATGGGTCCTGTCAGGGTGGCCATTCTTGGCTCCTGGATTTGTGCCCTTTCAGCCCCTGTGGATGAGATGAAAGAGGCAGAGCCTCTCTTGCCCGTTGTCTTAGTGGTGGCGATGCCCCGTGTTGATCTTGCATAACCATGCCAGGATTCTGACCTTCACAAGCAGGGGCAATCAGGGAGCTCCTGTCCACTCCGTCTCCTCCTCTTTCTTGTGGCCAAAGGAGAAAGGTGGCTATTCAGGGCAAGGACTGTTTTGGACTCATGCTTGTCCCATATGGGGGCAAAGGAGGGTGGCCTGCTTGTGCTTGTCAGTAGGCCAGGTAGCGTAAGGCCTTGCCAGTCTTCTCAAGGAAGCAGAAGTCATTTCAAAAGAACACTTTTATGGGAAGGTTGTGATAGCAAGAGATCTAGGCAGGGATTAACCAGGAATTAACTTTTCCCGCTCGAAAAGTTAGATTAAACTAGTGCAGACAGAGCCCCCCCCCTCCCCCCCAAAAGTCCAATTCATCATGGAGACTATCCAGAGGTACGAAGATGTTATGGGAAACTCCGGCCGAGAAGTTGGTAGCCGGCGTCTCCAGGGCAAGGTTGCCCCTCTCCTCCAGAGACCAGATAAGGCAGCTGCTGCTGGAGGCCCCTTCCTCCCCCCCCCCCAAGGCCCCGAACGTTACAGCAAAACAAAGCCAGGAATAGAAAGAGAGACCCCTCCCCAAGTCTCCCTCCCCCTGAATGACGGCCTCCCTATAGGAACTGATGGGACCTGTCAGGTAGTGAGAAGAACCAGTGCGAATGAGAAGGGCAAATTCTGCTCCTGAGGAAGGAAGGAAGGTTGGGGGGGATTTGTACATTTGGAGGGCGAAGAGGCTGCTTTTTCTCAAGGAAGAGGCATCACTCAGCAAAGCAGCTTCTTCAGTGGAAGGAGACTCCATCTGGCCCCGGGTGCAAGCATTTTGTTGTGCACAGAGTTCCCAAGGACCAAAATGGCAGCTGCTTGCGTGGCGTTTGAGACAAACGGTTTTATTTTGGCCCAGAGCTGCAGAGGAAGGTTTTGAGACAGTCTTGCCCAGTGACCTCTTCTTCCTGCAGCTTCAAGCCCAGGGCGAGCTGCCCGTCCTCCCTGGGCCCTGGCTGGAGATGCAGGCCTCCTTCCTACTCGACCTGATGCTGCACCAGTGCAGGACAGAGTACGAATTCAGAAAACTCCTCCAGCTGCTTGCAGATGCAGGAACTGCTCTTCTCCATGGCAAGGACCCCTTCCTTCTCTTCCCTCCTTTGCGGTGGCTGCCACGGCTGGGGGCTCAGGACAGCCTCACCTATGTCAGGTGGCAAGGATGCTGGATTCAGTGGGCTCTCTTGGTTGATTTAGCCACAGGGCTTCCCTGGTTTTGATGTTAGGTTTTCTCCCAACTGGGGTGCCTCAGGTATGCAGCCCTGGGACGGGGGGGGGGGCAGGAGGAACTCAGGAAAATCCCCTTTTGCTCCCTTCCCAAAGTCTGTCTTGTGGTCCAGCTACAGGTTGCCCCTGTCCTGTGGCTATGGCTCTTCTCCTTTTTGGGTGCAGGACCAGACCTGAAGAAGCTCAGTGCCCTCGGTGCCATCCTGAAAGATTCACCCACCTGCATCAGCCGGACTCTGCTGAGGAGCTACAGCTGTGAGGGGTTCCGGGAGGAGTGCCGGAGGATCCTGGAGCAGCTGCAGGAGAGCAGCTCTTTCTCTGTGGCTCGCAGGGTAGCAGAGCTGGCAGCACTGCCAGTGGACAACGTTGTCATTCAGGAGGTGCCTCCCCTTGATTGTGTTTATGAGTGTCATCCCTGTCGGCTGTTGGAGGCTGCTTTCCCCTCCCCCACACCTGGTGCAGCTGTGTGTCCGGATCTGCAGTGGCACAGTGGGCAGCCTGCTTCCCCAGCACTGTTTGGGACCCCTGCCAAGGCAGCCCGGCCTTCACAAGCCACCCTCGGCTCCCCAGAGATCACTGAAGCTCTGCCAGGAAGAGGGGCTGAATAGGAGGGTGGGGACTAGCCATCCCTGGGATGGTCATTTCTGTGCAGTGGAGTTTCTGGGCTTCTGATGGGTGTTTGTGTCCTTTCCAGGTGCTCCAGAACCTCCTCCTCTTGAAACAGGTTGGCCACTGGACTCAAAAACGGACAAGAGTTGAGTTCTGGAAAAAGTGCCACGAGACCTACGTGCAAAACGCCATCTCGAATCAAGCAGCCTCCGGCTTCTTCTCAGCCCAGGCAGACTTGGTCTCGGAGGGCCTGGAGGATGAGAGGGCACCCAGCATCTCAGAGAGGCAACTCCTGCTTACGCTGGCTGGATACTGGCTGGCCAGAAGCGACCCGGTTCCTGTGGGTGATCTGGAGAGGATAGAGAGGGAAATTTGGCGGTGCCGCATCAGGCGACAAGGGCAGATGGAGGCCAGAGGTTCTCCCCAGATTTCCATCAGCAGCGAGCCGTCCTTCGACTCCTTGGCCAAGGAATTCTGCTTTTCTAAGGTCGCTGCTTTAAACACCCCGAAGTTCCTGGAGCTCAGAGCTTTCCCTTCCCAGGATGCGACCCCAGTCGGGCTTTCTGAAGCTGAAGTGGCGTCCCTGGCTTTCCTGATTGGGCGTCTTCTGGATGAAGGAAGCGTGCATGAAGTTGCCAGGGTTTGCCGCTATTTCAGCTTCTACAGCAGAGACGTCGCCCTGATTTTGCACTGCCGCACGCTGGCCTTGGGGGAGGAGGCCCAGGGCTGCTTCCACCCCCAGATCCAGGCTCTCCTGGCAGCTGAGGACAGCCAGAGGCGCAGGGAAGCGGCAGCGGAGAAGAAACGGTTGAGTTGTAAGTTGCACTCGTGGGGAAACATCCGAGGGGGGCCAGGTAGTCTCTGCTCTTTCCTCACAGCCACTGAGGCTCCTGTGTGGCTCCACGGTGGTGTCCAGAATCAGCCTGTGGCTCCCAACAATCCAGGCCCTCTTTTACCCACCTGGGGAGGATGGGAGGACGGCTGCGTCAACCTGGAGCCAGTCAGGATCTGATTCCTGGCTGGGGGCAGAGTCAGCTGCCCAGCTGCCTTCTAACCACCTTCCGGCCGTTTGCTCTTGTCGGCCAGCCTGCCCCTGTAGTGGGGCCGGGTGAGGGGTGGCCATGGGGTTTTGCCCTGGCTGTTCTCTTGGGGATGTGGGCCTCCTGTCCCAATTTTGAAATCCCCAGAGGTAGTCCTCGACTTATGACCATGCAAAGTTACAGCAGCATTGAATGAATGGTCCTCAGAGTTCCAGCCTCCCCACTGTCACACGATCGCCATCTGTGCACTTGGTGACCGTCTCACAGTTATGACGGTTGCGGTTCCCAGCGTCCTGTGATGCCCTTCGCAGCCTTCCCTGCCAGCTTCCTCAGAAAGTCAGTGGGGAAGCCAGCAAAGAAAGTTGCAAGTTATAGGGGTGGGTCTCCTTCCCCAGCCCCCCTGCGCTTGGCTCACCTGACCCCTCCCCCAGCCCTCTGGGCTTTGGCTGAAGCTCCCTTCCATTCCTCTTCTCCTGGAGCCCCCTGCACCCCCTCACAGGGCCTCCCACCTTTGAGCCAAGGTGGCGCAGTGGTTAAATGCAGCACTGCAGGCTACTGCTAGATCAGCAGGTCAGCGGTTCAAATCTCACCGGCTCAGGGT